CGGCCCCTCGGCTGTCGCGGTTCCGCTTTTGCTGTTGCGCTACGGAAGGTGTTTTCCACAATAACGGCAGCCCAACACACACAACAGCCGAGATATTTACGTCTCGGCGCTGAACTCCGTGGTTTAAAATCCGCTGGGATGAGTCCTTCGCCTTGAATTAAATTTCCCTTTGGGAATCAGGCCAGAGCGCATGGTGCCCCCGCATAAAAACACCTCGTCCTTCTGGGGGACCCTTGACAAACGTCTTTGCCAAGACTTTTGAACAGTCACTCGTGCTGAAGTCAGTTCTGCACCTCACTGGAATGCTTTCAAAACCTGCTGAAAATATTTCGGATTCATACAGGGTGAAGCATTTTCATGAGTGCCGGTGTGACTGACTCCCACTTGGTCAGAAAAACAAGGCTCTTTGAAAATTTCAGTAATATGTAATCGCTAAATCAACCCTCTCCCCTACCTCTTTTTAGGTGTTTACAGAACGTGTTTAAAGTAATGGAAGTGTATTTATATTTTATCACTCAGAAACTCTTGAAGGTTTAACATACCTCTTATATTTTGTTGTTACAAGATTGATTCTTGGAAGAACCTTGTGATGCCCCTGAATAAACAATTTAATGTTTCTTGTCTTAAGAGCAAATAGTTTAATACTGAGCGTGAGTTTCCGTCCAATATAGCTTGTCTTAAAAGACTTCTAGTATCAACAGCATTAATAATAAGGTGATACATTATCTCTGAATGTCAAACTGCCAAGCGACATTGTAATTAGGAAATAATATACACACTGCAGGCATTAATTCAAGATAACCAAGTCTTGACATAAATATAATATTTTGTCGGCCATGGCACTGTCGATTAGATATGCTATGGTAGTGGTTTAGTCAGCCAGCATGTGAGTACATTATTTACACTATTCTCTTAGTGTTAACTTTGCTTCACCAAAAACCTGCTAGTAAAATACAGCTAGTGTTTTGTTATTTTTAATCTGCTCACCTCTCTCAGTCGGGTCACGTAACGGACTTGGGTGGTCCCACTGATGATGCTGCCATGGTCAGCTATGGGTAGGCAGCAGGTTTTTCTTCTAGAAGAGAAACTTGACATAAAATTTCACATTCTTGTATTGGTGATCTTCATGTAGCCTCAAAGGGGAGGAGCGAGAACAGCTTAAAAGACACTATGGGTTGCAGGGCATACAGATCCACTTGTGCTGGAAACCTGGGTGAAGTATCTTCATGGAGCTACGAAACAATTTCCACCTCATTTTATTTTTGTCTGCTCTGAAACATCAGAACGCGGAAAACTTTTTTGTCAACTAGTGAAGGTCGGTACCTAATAAGACTTGCAAAGAATTATGACTGCCTTATTCTTTCTCATCTCAGTATTATTCAGTGGAAAACTTCCATGTGATCTTTGCCTTCTTTTTACGATTTTTTTTGGTTATATAATTCTTATTTAAAAATTAATACACATGACAAATAGACTCTTTACCTACTCAACAAGGACAAACTAAAAACTAGTTTCAAGTCCCTGCTTGTATGGCTGTCACCTTTCTGTGAGCAACAGTGATCAAGCTGAGCTTTGTCAATTCATCCTTCAGTAGAACCTTGCCTGATTTTTAAATTTGTGATATTTAGTATGGTAAAAGTGTGGAAGCATTTAACAGTAGCCACTGGTTTATTCAAAACATATCCTCAGCTTTAGAAAAAAAAAAAAGATTTGTTAAAGATCATTATCACTGTAGCAATGAAGTGCTCTAGTCATGAACCAACACTCCAGAAAACCTTAAAGTAAAACCTTAAAAGTGGAACTACAAGTTCAATTTCCATGTATTTTCCTATAATCTGTACTCTCAATGATTTTGTGAAATTTGTTTTGGTGACTGAATTACCTTTAATGATGAGTTTTTTGTGTATTTTTGTCCAATTAAGAAAAAAAATAAAAGCCTTATTACTTTCCCATTAGGAACGATCACGTTGCTAAAACTGTTCCTCAACACTGCAACCTACCGTTCATTGTCAGTACAACACAGGTATCACTGGTGCTTGCGTGTTTTCTTTTTAGTGTTAATACTGGGTATAAATCTAACAGTGCAATTCTTGAGGTAAAGGCCTAATAACAGAAGATTTATTTTAGATTGGCAGCTGTAAAAAACACAGCTGGAGTCCTCAGTATCACAAACATGAGGAAGGCTGGAAGGGAGCAGCGCAAACCAAAACAGAGTGTGAGCTTCAGTAAAAAAGGGTATTTACGTTCAACAAAGGGTAGTCTGAATGTATTTCAAGCTTCAGGTTATTCTTGTAGAAATCAAAATATATTTAAGAACATAATTAAAAGATAATTAAAAGTTTGCAACAGCGCCACCATGTTTCCTCCTCGCGGTGGCAAGGAGCCCATTAGCCTCGCCTAGAACATGCATCCCATGGCATTTACTACTTCTTTTCTTTTAAATGAAAAAACAAACTGATGCAGCATCTTGTATGACTGGTACCTGAGTGAAAGTTACCACACCCACTCTCTGCCAAAGGGACCATTCACTACTGCTGGGGGGTTTGAGGGATTTGTGGATTTTTTGGTAGGTTTTTTTGTTTGTTTTGTTTGCTTTAAAGCACGCCTTGTATAGAAGATGCCAAAAAGCACCACATCTCAAATTAACTCCAATCCTCTGTGATATATCCTGCCTACTCTATACATATCTAAGAGCTGTGATTAAAAACGAACACTGAGATCTTCCCTCCCAGAAACATCTGTGTTATGTCCTAGATCTCTGCTGCACAAAATACCACTTGTATTTTTATGGATGAATGTACAGCAGATGCGCTGGGATGGCACATTAATTGGTATTTCAAAATAGGTACCCCTTATTTGAGCTGTAAGTAATTTAAGTTATATAAAATCTAGAAGAACTTGGGGG